TGTGTTTTTTTTAAGTGCCGAGTGGCATAAATTGGACCAAACAACAAAACTTCAGTATAAACTTTTATTAATAAATTAGGATTTAATCGGCTGTAATTCGGCAGCCGAATAACCCAATTTGGACTAGTGTAAAACACATATGCACAAAGCATCTTTCACCCGAAAAAAAAAAAAAAAAAAAAAAAAAAGTACAATATCAATAGCACAACATACATCTTTCTTTGCTAAAAAGAGTTTAATGCAAGGCTTCCATATGAGGTCCAATCTCTATACTCTTTTAGTACCATTCAAAAAATACAGAAAAAAAGAAATTCAAAAATCTATATTATTGCCTTGAATGGCGTCTAACTACCTATAAATAAATAAATACCTAATTACATGAAGACACTGCAGTCAATCTATATAGATTGGCTTTCAAGTTATAATTAGGATTGGTACACTTGCTTTCCAAATATGACTTGATATATGGCAAGTAAAGTAGTGTTGAAGGTGATAGGAAGTGAATATCTTTTTGCATGAAGACGCTGCAGCTACTTTATACAGATTTGTCTTCAAGTTACAAAAAGAATTTGGTATATCCATACTTCAAGTGTGGCGAAAGTGTTCTATGGGTAGAGTTCATATTGGTTTTCTTAATGGTACTGAAACCTAACCTTGCACAATAAATCTATATTGTTCGAGAGGTAAGTGAAGAACATTTGTTGTTATTACCAACTCATTTTTGGGGGTAACTAGAATCCCTGATTATCACGTATTACCTTACTAAGTTTTTCAATTACTAGTATAACACCTGCAACCAACTTAGCTTATTGCTAGTTACATTGGTATTGACTGTCATTTTACTTTAAATACTGTGGAGCATAACTCCTTGGGTATTTTCAGATAATAATAGTTGTACAGAAATTTCTTTGGTGTATCTAGTCTAATCACCGATCAATAAACAATGTCAAGTTTAATAATGATGATTTTGTCAATCTTTTGGAGAGGTAAACAATCTGTCCTTTTTCTGAGAAACCATAGAAGAGAGAAAATTTTCTAAAGCCCATATTCTAAGAAAAGTTACTACTTCTTGATATAGTTTTTAAAGAAAGGAAGTCAACTGGCCAGAGGAATAATATTATGGAGATAGAGTTTTCAAGAAAAAGAGAGGCCTAGGAAGGAAAACCTTTAGAAAAAAAAGAAAACTTAGCTTCAGCAGGAAAAAAAGGTGAAAGAGAAAGAGGAGAGTATAAGATATAAAAAAAGTATATAGAAAAAAGAAGAGAAGATAAGAGAAGGGAAATAAAGAGATATGGAAAAAAGGATATAAGAAAATGAAAAAAAAAAATGAAAAAAAAGTAAACAACTCAAAAATTTCCTAAAAAGGAAATTTTCAAGTATAGAAAGGAGAGTGGGAAAGAGTTTTTTTTTTGATATATTTAAAATATTATATTAATATATTAAACATTTTTTATAATATTATAACTATAATTAAATATTAGTTTATATAATATATTATTTTTACGTATATCTAGTAATATAATATATACTTTTTAAGTACAAATTAATACTTTTCTTACTAATTACTTAATTAATATTTAAAAATAGTATTTAGATTAAAGTTCTTAATAAAACATATATACTCTCCTTAATACAATTTGATAGATCTTGACAAAATATTTTCTTATCTACTATTATTTTATTTATATTTTCAAAAAAGTAAAAATAAAAAGGCTTCTTGATTTTTATTCACTTAAACTTTAATAACAAGAAAGAGTTTCCTAGGGAAGAAGATAGTTTATTTAATTTTTTTTCTTTTTTTTCATTATCATGATATTAGTATTTTTATCAAAAAGAATGACTTAAAAGATTATTAAATATTTTGATCTTCAGAAATCTTCACAATATAAGTATAGCTATCTTTCTAGTATGTTTTCAAAATTCTTAGTTTTTCTGAAAATTTTGCCTATTTCTGTTTGACCTTGAATTTTTGATTACACCAAATCTTCTGGATTTCTATTGGCTGAAAATTTAAATTAAATAATAATAAATAAATAACAAATAAACAAAACAAGAACATATTTCTATTTATACTATATAATTTCAATGATATTATAGATTTAGATAGAAAGAGCAAGGTAATAAGATATCTGTTTTAATATAGTTGAGTTTGATATACTGTATATCCTTTCTATTTCTTTCCTTTTCTTTTTTTTTTTTTTATTTTCTTCTATATTGTATATATAAATACAAACAAGATAGACAAAATATTTTTCTTTTTGAATTTTTTAATTCTGATCCATGATTTGTAGGTGGTTATAAACTATAATCTATTTAGTAAAACTTTTAACACAACTTCTTTTTTTGTAAGAATAATAACTTACTAGCAATATTTACCATTTTTATCTATAATGAAGATATTTAGTAACATTTGCCAGAATGAAAAATTCTTCTTAGACTGAGTTAAACTTTGAAAAAGTTAACCTTTCTTGAATAAACAACTTATACTTGAAAGTAAGAACTTATCTAAAAATTAAATCATTAATTCTATTATAGGTTTTAAGATATTAAAACAATTTTTAATTAACAAGATTTTATTTATTTTTCAAATTGTAATTTTCTAGGCAATTATTCAGATAAGAAAATATTTTAAGCTATTGGTAAGAATAATAGTAATAGGTTTTATCCAAGTATAATAGGATTGCATTTAGAGTATAATAAAATTTTATTTTCTTGGATACAAAAAATAAGTGATTGAAATTATGTATTTTAGCTAATACAATTATATTAGAAAGGTAGTAATAACCAAACCTAAATTCTTGAATAATTGAAATAGAATCAATAAAACTGATTACTAAAACTATTTTTCTCCTATCTTAATATTGTTAAAGAAAAAGTTTTTTTTTCTTCCTTTTGAAAAAGATAGAGATATAGTATTTCAATGGGTAATTTGTTAGATGTTAAAAAATCTTACTGAAAAAGTTTACTAATTTGAGATCAGAAAGTATAGAAAAGCTTAGTTTATTTATAAATTTTTTAGAGGGAAACAATAGTACTTAATAAGATCAATTAGAAAATACTATTGCTTATGCTGGTAACAATTCTCATGATAGAATATAGTTTTTAATATTATTTAAACTATTATATTTTCAAGTTAATTAAATTTTAGATGCATCAAGTGTCAAAAAAAAAACTGATATATATTTACTTTAATTTGAATAAAGATGTAAACCACCTGTTCAATATATATATATATATATACTCTTTAAGTAAATTATATTTTTTAGTAAAAATCTACTTATCACTAGTTTTAAATTATCTTAATTTACTGATTTAACTTGTTTGAGAACAATATGTATAATGAAACCAATTTAAAATATCCTTAAGTTTTAATTACTTAATTAGACTAGAACCAATTATAAAAGAAAAAAATAAAATACAGTTCAGTAATAATTAATTATATAAGAAAAATTAAAATTAAAATAATAATAATAATAATAATAATAATAATAAAAATAAAAAAAATAAAAATAATAATTTTATAAATATCAGTACTTATAAGTTAAAATACAGTATATACATTGTATTATACAATAAATAGGTTTAGATAAATTATAATATATTTTATTAATTTAATATTTTTTAAATTAATGAGGAACAGAACCATGATCCCTTATGTTATCCTCACGTTGATAAAACAATAAATGTTAACTGTGTCAAATTGCATCACTGTCTATTATAATTTGAAAAATTTCGATAGTAAAATATCTAAGTAATTCGATGTAGTTTTAGAATAGGATTTTAAATCTTAAACAAACAAAGTCAAAATCTTTCAAGAAACAAAGCATTCCAAGGGAAGATTAATATTTATATTTCGTAGAATAGTCCTTGGGAGAAACCACCAAACCTCGACCTTTCCTAGCACCTCTGTAAACAGTCTCTATAATGTCTATGAGCTCTTGTTTGTCTTCCAGTGCCTGAAGAACAATCGTTGTAAGTTATTGAATTAACAGGGATATAAATCGAGAGTTAAGATCTGTAAGAATGATAGTTTTACTAACCCAATTTATCTTATTATTGTTACCAGTTCCAAGATCAATCATGATATGTTTGTTACGAAAAAAAAACATTACAGTACATGGATCGTAAAGTTCGTACATCTAAGAAACAAGATCATCTTATTGAGAAAGCATTCAGCAAAAATTGATCATTATAACAAACTTTAATATACCTTATTGAAATCAGGAACTTCGGTAATGTCGACCTGTGGATTGAGGAAATGATTTTTATTGTTAAAGCGAGACAAAATATTTAGCATAAAAAGGGTAAAATGCTTCTTGATTAAACTACCAGATAGATCACGGCAAAATTTTTGACTTTTTCGGCTATTCCGTACAAGGTTTCATCCATTTTCATACATGTTGGATCCTGGATGATAATTTTTATCCTGGAATGTTAATTTGTTGAGTTCTGATAACAAATTTAAGAAACGAAATTTACAAACTAACCCAATCGTGTCCAAATCTAATTACCACTACTCGATCTTCTTCGGACAGTATTGCCTGGTCGACTTGCCAACCTTTAAAATCCCGTTAGAAATTGAAAAAAAGCATTAGTGGATTCACGCCGAAAAATGTGAATCAAGTAAAATACTTACCATTAGTCAAATGAGGAAGGAAATATGACATGTTTTGTAATAAGGTCGATTATACTATCTATAATTGCCGTTCAAACTGGACAAATGGCCAAACTTCAAAAAAGAAAACGGAAAGATAAAGGTATGTTTACGTGATTTTGCAATTGTAAATTTCGAGGTCAACTATTAACTTTATATATCACATGTTTTAGAAATTTTTGCGGGCATTAACCAATTAGAATAATGAACCAATCACCGCAACCATCGTTTTTGAAAAATTTTCGATTTATAAGAACTTTTTAGAAGTTTGAGCAACTCGGTATTTCTGGCAAATAGTCGTAGCGATGACTGCCGTAAGTTGATTTCAATTAACGAATTCTTTTAAGCGCTTTTAATTTTATGGAATTCCTTCTAAACCTGCTTTGGATTCTCTGTACGTATATAGACCAACAAAAGTAGCTCGGCGAAGGTCTCAAAAAAACCGGTGCAAAAAAAAAAATACATAATCGATGCTTCGGCTCCTTCTCGCGATAAGATTTTTGACTCAGGGGCCTTTGTATGTTTCATGTGTATATAAAGAATAAGTGATTTTGATACATTTTCTAATTAGAGAAAGATTGATTGGATAATAATAGGAAAAATTTCTTCATGATCGAGTAAAAATTAACGGTCGCACTGGTCAATTGGGTGACGTCGTTAACATAACCCGTAGCGAAGATCATAAGATTACCATTATCACCAGCTCTCATGTTTTCTCAAAGAGATACATGAAATATCTTACCAAGAAGTTCATGAAGAAACATCGTATTCGAGATTGGCTACGCGTTGTCGCTACTGACTCGGTAAATTTCAATATGATTGTATTATTCATCAATTCTTAATAAATAATATTTATATTTATATTTATATTTTTTATATCTTAGAACTCTTATCAAATAAGGTACTTTAACATCAGTAACGAAGACGGGGAAGAAGATGAAGAATAGACTGAGGAAGTGCCTCGCGCGAGATAGACCTGAAATATATTTTGTATATCACACAACTCGCGCGAAATGCGATATGATTTCCTGTGAGATAACATTAAAATTTCAGTAGTTAAAAACTGAAGTGTTAAAATATAATTATTTTTATGCATCGTAATCAATAAATTTTTACGTCCGTTTCAAGTGTTTGTACCCAGATGTATCGAATGAATGGTCGGGTTTTGTAATTTTTTGGACATTAAAAATATTCGCTTCTAATTTAGAGTGTTGACGATATTTATAATAATTAAAGTTTTTATTATGTAACTCTATTTTTTTTTTTTTACATCAGCATCTAAATATTAAATCTCAAACTTTTTTAAAAAAAATTTTTTTTTACCTATAAGATATCTGTGATTATAGTTGATTGTAAAAACATGATTGATTATCTTACCCATATCAATTAATTAATCATTTATTTTATATATTTTATATTTCTGAAAAAAAAAATTATATATTGTTTAAAAATATGCTGTATATGTAGTGGTGATCATGATAAATGAATATTTAAAATTCAAAAATTTTATCCCAACCAGTTTTTACATATAATTTTATATAATCAATTTTATCTATTCAATCCAATTTTATAATGAAATCATGAAATAAAGATAATCAGAAATTTAAAAAAAAGTATCTTGTAATAAACTTGTTTTTTAAGATATATTTCTAACCCTTACTGTATATGTTATATGATATATTTATTTTAGAAAATCCTTGTTTTATACTATAATTAGAGAAATGAATTTCTGGATTTAAATATTGTGAAATAATTAAAATACGTAGGTAGATGAAGAAAAAATGGTATAATAATAATAATATGAAAAATATTCTCAAATATTTATCATTGCTTTTTTTTGATAAAACCAATATTAAAGAATATATTTTTGTTTGAATTACAATCTTCATTGAGAGATTAATATGTTATAAAATAAAACTATTTTTATTGATTTAATGATATTTACAAGTATAATTGTTCTAATTTAATTTGAATAACAGTATTAATAGTATTATTAAGTATTATTTTCAAAAAAAAATCAATAGAAAGGAATTTTTTGAAGAAGTGATTAATTTATTGTTAACTTGATCAATTTGATTAATCGGTTAATCCGACTCAATCAATTTATTTTAATCTGATTTAATCCGTTTTTTTGATATACGGAGAAAGACGCAATTCGCGCGAAATGAATAGAGATGACACATTATATCGCGCGAGATAAAAAGTGAATTCTACAATCGATCTAAAGTTATTTGTCCTCCCTTTGCACGATTGAATAGAATGCAATTATGATGAAATGTTCGTTGATAGTTGATATCTGGAAATTGCAAACGCGCGTCAAAATTTTTAATTCAAAGTCAGCATAATTTAACAATTTAAAAATAAATCCCAAAAATATACCCTGCATAACTTTCTAGATGAAGTATAGGTTTTGTCGAGAGATGTATTGTGATGGTGGGTCGTGAAGCTCCTTCACCCGACGTTCTTTTAGGTACACGTGTTAATTTGACTGTTTATGATAATTCTTCATGTGATAAGAACTTACTCGTTTTTATCCTCCTCATAATCTTCCATTTCTTCATCTTCGACATCCTCACCGCTTTCACCCTTAATCCTCACAAAAGTTCTACCAATTTGATTATATTGATGCAAAGTGCCATTCATTTTTCGTTTTATAATCTCTACTATTGAAACCGTTTTCGTGATGGCCGAACCTTTGCCAGATAGAATTAAAGTAATGCTTGATGTCTCATCTGAAATTTTATTCTTAATTCATTTATTTAAGGAAAGAGAGTCGATTGACGATAAGACCTATTATTCGCCTAGAAAAAATTTGACACCCAAGACATACTTTAAATGCGTTTAATCCCTGTTCTACATAATTTCTTATTTTTCCGGAACGCGTAATTCTAAGAGAATGCTCTTTTGTTTCCTTGATTGAGGATGTGGTTATAGGGGCAGTACTAGAAGTGGCTGATTCGTTCTGTGATCTTGGTGAGGGTGTAGTTAGCACAGCAGTGCTGGCAGTATCAGGTTCTACCTGCAAACTTAATGCTGACTCTTTGGTCTTAACCTTCTTCCCTTTATACGGGCTTGGCCTTGAGATGTATTTAGAATTTCGTCGTTTAGGTGACATTTTTAGATAATAGATTTAAAGTTTTGTCGCTTATCAAATGACGCAAACGTTGGCGATTATCACAGTTTATAAACAAATTACGAATTTACTTTTCCAGAATTGTAAAATTGACCCAACAATACTATAAGACATTTTGTTTATTGCTAGGTGTTACCAGCAGGAACTTTTAATCCAACGCGGTTTGCCGTTTTTTCAACCCGTTGTTGTTCAGTCAACCCATGCATTGGATCCAATTGCGTCAATAATTCCTATTTAATTTGAAGGCGGAAAAAGGTCAAACACGCGGTTTTGCTGGTTTGCTTTATTTCTCCACCAGAAAAAAAGTCTAAACACATACGCCATATCTACGATTACTCCTCAGGAAACTCAATAAATCGGTTGCGTCTTGATCAAGTTTTTCTAATAGTTCTTTGTTGCTCGCATCTCGATTTTGACGAAACTCTTTGATCAATTCTAGTTTCCAATATGGATTTTTATTATATGGCGTAAACTGTTTGAAGGCCGAAGTTTTTTAAAAGCCGAATTGCGTGATAAGAACAAGATAAATTAAAGGTTCCGGAAAATTACTTGTTTCTGAACTTCTCTCAACAATTGACGATAAATTGAAAGTATCATCTTCCTACTCGTATCACTTCTGACCGCTTTCAATGTCGCCGTCATTTTTTCAAGGCATCAGAAACGAGGTCGGCGTTTAACAGTAAACGTATATCTTTTTAAAGTAGCACAGGAATAAATTTTATTACTCACGTGATATTGGAACCCATAAACAGAATGCGTAATATAATATAACCTCGATTTTTGGATCGTTATTGCTCGTACTCCATGGAGGCTGATTATTGTAAGTGAACGAAATTGATTTCAAAAAATTTGTTCACTCCTACACGGTACTCCTTGATTGAATTTACCTATGCCTCACTAGCTGGATTTTAGAGACTGCTTTTTTCCATTGAATTTTTGGTGGTTTCTTGCGGGATGATCTAATATTCTTTTACCAGTGAGGCAACACTCTTTAGTATTCGCGTCGACCGAGAGAAAGCGTCGTTGTACAATGAAAGTTCGGGCAAATTCTAATCCTTGTTTTTTCGATCACCAAAAAAGGTTACTATAAATTAAAAAAGAAGATATACGCATATAACATTATTAAAAATTAATAAAAGAATTTATTTTTTTAAAAATTCGAATGAATAAATATATTTTACGATACTTTATTATTATGGTTTTTTTTAAATCACCTAAAGATAGGAATTTTTTTTTTTCTTTCAATCTATCAAAAGCATAGGAAATAACACGATTTACTTTATTGAAAAGGCAATGCGATTAATTCAAGTACCAATATCTCCATAGGATTGTGAAAACAATGTCGACCAAAAAAATATCACGTTTATAATTCAGATCATGCCAGTATTAAACAAACAACATTTTTACTAACGTAAAAAAGGCTTAATAAAAAGATGGTTCTAAATTTCTTATTAATTAATGGCAAGTCAACACACTTGTTGACAAACATACATTCTGGCAAAGTTTACTTGAGTTTCTTCTTTGGACGTAACTGATTGGTATGACCGCACTGTGTGATGTTCCCGGTAAAGTGAATTAAGCGTAAGAACTACTTGATTAATTTCACAATACGGTTGTGCGTTATTAAGTAATGTGAGCATACCTTTTTCTTACGGCAATTAGTAGCACGAGGTGGTAAACGCGCATAACATTTACGGCAAATCATCTTTTCACAGTTATATTTCGATGCAAGTGCTTTAAGAGATGGCTCAATGATACCACCACGAAGGCGCAAAACCAGATGCAAGGTAGATTCTTTTTGTATATTATAGTCGGCTAAGGTACGGCCATCTTCGAGCTACCGTCAAAGTCTATCAGTGGGGACGATAAGTCAGACGTAAGACTAAGAAAATATTTCTTCTTTACCTGTTTACCGGCAAAGATTAAACGTTGCTGATCCGGAGGAATACCTAAGAACGTTCAATCTTCAGTTTACGAGAAAAGTTCCATCAATCCTGCCGAATGAAATGCGAATCATTAGAAATTGACTTCTTACCTTCTTTATCTTGAATTTTCGTTTTGACATTGTCAATTGTATCGGTGCTAAATTATCAACAACAATCAATAAATAGACTTTCATCTTTTTAAAGAGGTTCTTACTACCTTTCAACTTCAAGAGTAATAGTCTTTCCCGTTAGGGTTTTGACAAAGATCTGCATGGTTATCGCTTTGTATTAGAAGAGGTGAATTCGTTTCGACGAAAAAAAATTTTTTTTTAATGCAATCATCTAGTCACATGATGTGGTATGTGACCAGTAAAATCAAAAAGAATTTTTCGCTTATCTCTGATGAGATTTTTACAGATGTCATTCTCTCGAATGTTTCGAAATGGCCTAATTCCTTCACCCATCACATGGAGTAATAAAGTTCAGACTACTAAAAAATTTTCTTTGAACGTCTCAAGACAATTTTTTATACCCCGTTTAACTTATTTAACGGAAAACAATTTGCAATTCAGAAGGAACAATGCAACCAATGCCTATGTAAATCCGGGCGCCTATAAATTTTCCAAACACACAAAGCCTGATAGAACAATCGTAAAGCGAATTGTGTTGACACTTTTCCCAATTATAACTTTCGGCCTCGGAACATGGCAAGTACAACGTCTACGTTGGAAAGTCGCGCTGATTGAAAATTATGAAGAACGCTTGTCTAAGCCAACAGTGGTTCTACCGAAGAAAATAAAGTAATTTGGAAAGAAGATAACTGTCATGCACAGTGTTCCCGTTTTAATGAATCGAAAAGGAATTAAGTCTCCAGGCTTATCAAATTTGTCAAATTTACAGAATGGATGCCTTGGACGACTTTCTCTTTAGGCGCGTTAAAACTTTGGGCAGATTCCGACATGATCAAGAGATGTTGTTAGGACCTCGTTCTTTAGACAATAAGCATGGTTATTATGTCATTACACCACTTGAACGAGAGAATGGGTGCATATATTTACACTTTAGGTTTCAATTTGTTATCGAAACAACTCAATATTAATTAATCTCGCGAATAAATTCAGGACGACAGTGTTAGTCAAACGAGGATGGATCTCCAAAGACAAAATCGATTCCATAACAAGGAAAAATGAAAAGGTTTGAAAAAATCTTTATTCCTAAATGTTTGTTGCTAGAAAGTACGTTCAGTATCGACAACTAATTATTAAGATTTCGTTTTAGGGCGACACTGTGGCGGTAGAAGGATTGTTGAAAACATCGGACAAGGTAACACGAGACTTATTCTTCTTAATCATTTACACAAGTAACGTCTTATGCAATCATAGAAAACTTGGTTCACCCCCAAAAATAAACCGGAAAAAAATCAATGGCTATGGGCTGATGTAGAAACCATGGCTGAACGAACAAATGCGCAACCTGTCCTGATAGAACAAATTTTCGGTATCTGTCTTTGTCCCTTACGTATTTTCCACAGTTGCAATCAGACAACTTATTCCTAATCTATCAAAAAAATTTTTTTCTTTCTTTTTTCCTTGTTACATACTCGAACAGAGGGCTCACCTTACTTGACCAATCAAATGATTCAAGACGGTACCCCCGTTGGCAAAACGCCGAGCGTAGAGTTACGCAACACACATTTGCAATATGCTATCACATGGTAAAAAACGCTTCCTTTTTTAACATAAAGAGTATGCGAATTGATAATCTTCTCACGGTCTATTCAGGTATTCGTTATCTGTGGCAACGAGTGCCATGCTCTATTTTCTCTTTAAGAAATCGCCAAAGGAACACGTTAGGCATACAAGGAGGTGAAATCGAAACATTACTTTCACAACGAACAATTAGTTCTCTCACACTCGATCAACCTACTTGACATCATTGATACACTCGTTTACATGATTTCACAATTTTTTTTATCATCTTTGTTAATATCTTCCTTACTCTCATTTCTGTACGATCTGTAAAACAACAATTTAACTCGATATATTATTCGTAAAATAAAAAAATTTCGACTCACTTGTTAATACTAGTACTACGATTTCCTGATGATGGAGCAGTTGGTAGACGTGGATCTTTTTTTTGAAACTGCATTCGAAGAAGTTCAAATAATCGGTTTTAGTTAGGTGGACTGTACATTATTCTATAGATAACATTATCAAACACATCAAACTTACCTTTTCGTCGTCGATAATTTTACCATATGGGTTAAAGGCTGTGAGAAATGATTGATAACGTGTTAAACGAAAAGTTTTAAATAATAAGAATTTATGAATTTCTACTGACGCTGTTCTTTATGAGTCGTCGATGTTGACGCGATGATAGTCGAACTTCGCTTGGTCTCGGATTTTGATTTCTCGGTTCGCGACGTGGACGATTCGCTAGTCGATATCACAGACATTAAAGAGGACGGCAGCTGTGTGTGATCCACGATGTCACTTACTTCCTCGTTAATTTCTAATAATAGAGGGTCATAATCGCATCATTGGCAAAAGGGGTAATAGTATATTATAAACAAACTTCTCAACGTACTACTACTATATTTATCTTTTTTCTTCTTTCTTTGTCTTTTCCCGGAAAGACCTTTGTTTTCTAAAACGGACTCAACATGTCCAACAGAGCTTCTCGATGAGGATTCTTCTTGCATTACTGTATCAACATCCTTAATTAAAATTTCCTTTTTATGTTCTGTGTTATCAGATTTGACATCCATGTCGTTTGCTTCGGCATCCTCATCGTCGTCCTGCCTTTGGCGCTTTTTAGATGACTTTGATAAATCCACAATTTCTCGTTGTTTTCCTTTCGACTTGGTACTTCTTTCTTCTGCTGGAACATAAAGAATTTCTTCGTGAGATTGTTCTACTACTAACTCGGTTTTAATGTCAGCTTCGAGCGCGGGTGTTATGGTTTTAGGAAGTATCGGTAACGAGAATGTAAGGCTGGAGTATATCTCAGCTGCCTTGTTCCATGATACTTCATTCGAGGTGGCACTCTGAGTTTCCGAAGAGCAGTTAGCGTCTTGCATGCTATCACTATCATATTATCACTCAAAGATCGAACCTTATTTAACGAATTTCCAAACAAAATTGAATCTTTGGCACGGATCAGATCTGCGTGGTTTATCGGTCCTGACGAATCCAAAACCCACTTGACATCTTTACCTGAGGATTACATTAAGTTAAATTCGAGATTCCACAAAACAATCGACATGAAAAAGAAGTTTGAATAATAATAATAATAAAAACATTACTTTCGGTAATTAGTTCGACACCTTCCATCTTTCTTACGACCATTTTACTTTGAGATGGAGAAATCTGATCTGATGAAGAGGTAGCTTTTTCTTTAGCCTCTGCAATCAACATCACTAATTCGAGAGCATGTTCTCGCACGAGCGGAGGAACATATCCCCGAAGGCATTTTCCGATTTCTTTTGGATCATCTGGCATTTGTTCAGAAAGAAGAATGAGCATATCGTTCGGAAGTACGTATCTTTGATCGTAAGAACCAAAAAGCAAATTTAATATATGTCCAGAATTATCAATAAGACAGAAGTTTTTGATAATGAATCAAATTGCCTACCCGATGCTCTCATCCTCTAATCTTGCAGTACTATCTCTCCATTCGTGAAGAGCTTTGAATACCGACAACTATGATTACAAATTTCCGTAAGTTACAATCCTTCATTTAGCAAATATATTTACAGCCATCAAACCTGTTGCTTATCCAACGAAGTTCCCCATTTGCCTAATAATTTCTGATAGCCTCCCGGTCCCTTCCCAGTTTTATCATATCCAAATGTCTCATAAACTCTGAGAGACACCTCAGCAGAACGATCCAGGGTTACTTGCAAGCGATTTAAAGTCACAGTATCGGATTTTAAAATTAGGTCATTACGCATGCGGTCATATATATAAAGCAGGTAATGCGTATCGGTACGCGCGTAAAGTATCATTTCTTCTGTGAGGGGCCTTAAAAAAACCAGTAAATTCGTTCAGATTTTTTTTCAAATAGATACTTCGAAACTTGTTTTATACAGATGAATTAATTCACACCTCAATCGCCAATCTGCCAACTGATATTTTTTGTCAGTTTCCACATCACAATAATATTTCAGTAAATAAGCCAGTGAATGTTGGGGCAATCCTATTTGCAAAATTCAAAATTATAGGAAATTCGATAATAAAAAGGCATCATGTTTGAAAAACGCTTACCTAAAAGGTGAGAAGCTACACCTGTATCAAATAAGTTGACAACATAAACACCAAAATCTTTTTGTAACCATTGAATGTCATAATCCGCTCCGTGAAAGACCTGAGCATAATGTGAAATGTTTCAACAAATTTGATTATACCAATTACGATTGTAAAAACAACCATTCATGTATTTACATACCTTTACCACATTTGGGTTGGTGAAGAAATTATTAAGAACATGTAAAGAGTTTCTTAATTCCAATGTATCAACGATAAAATCCTCGTCCCGTGTGCTAATTTGCATGAGACAGGTAAATCCTTGGTACGATCGATAATCGTGGTGCTAAATAAAATTTACTCGTCAAGATTGAATCATAGACAATGAAAGAATTGTCACGTAAAAAGTTACCTCAAGATCGACTGCAAACTCCTGTGAAACCTCTAATTTCTTACACATGGCAGACAATTCCTCCAATGTATCAACCCAGGTGAGCGAGGTGGTTTCAATGGGTGGATACATTATGGGTGGTTTCATTTCGAACATAAAACTTGGATACTTGATATTCATTATTTCATGTTGGTAAGGATGAGAACTAAGAACAAATCAGTTAGCCTTAAGGATGTCGATTCCCGATTTTTCCCTATCTCCTTAGATAATTACCCGCTCTTCACTTTGAGTGGTACTATCTCATTTGGTTTATTTGGAAGTTTCGGAATGAACGGTGCTCCAGAGTTGTCAATTTTATCCTTAAACTTAATCTGCGGGCGACCTATGACCCGAGAATAAACAACATTGACCGGTCCCGACTAATTACCAACGGAACATTCAAGGAATTAGCTCTGCGAAGGTAAAAAAAAAAAAAAACGAGCATCAAACGAGATCTCTAAACACAAACTTTGGCCTTCACTTTTCCAATGGTAGGTGCTAGTTGAGTGGCACTAGATGCGGCAAATTTTTGACTTCGACCGGTAAATTCATCCAATGAGATATTCTAAAAAACGGTTCAATTAGTTCAATGTCATTAACATTCAAACGCATATGTCAATTACTAACCGCGCCGTCAAGCAACGAATCATTCAGTGCAATTATTTCTTTGTACCAAACATCAACTTCTTTGGCGTCAGTTACCCCGCCAAGCTGCTCGCAACCCGGTAGATCAACGTTCGCGATCAGTTGATTTAATTTGGTTTTGATTCTTCTTGATAACACGTCCAAGGTACCTGCCAACGCGGGATCCACCGTACGATAAAACTTAACTTCCCCACGAGGTAACGCGAGCCTTTGTTTCTGAACATAAGAAGCTATTGTTTTAATTGCATCTTGCTGGTACTGATCGAAATTTTCCGAAGTAATAATAGCCTTAGTCGATTCTTCCATGTTCATGTCAAATTAGCTAGACCAACAACACCAACACTATTTATTTTTGGCTTCACGTGATTGGTGAATCATGTCGTTACGGTTATGTACGAAATGAAATGTGTATCATATACAGTACATAGCTGACAAAAGAAACTTTTTCAGTCTTTAAAACAAAATGGTTGACCAAAGCCACTGTAACTACAATTACGTTAATATTATCTAGAGATCTTTTGCCAATACCCTAAACTCTATTAATTCGGGTATTTGCATACAATGTTTTGTAGTTACCGCGGAAGAAATCCAAAGACTTTACATTAGATTTATGAAACTCGATAAAGACAAATCGGGTTCCATCGATAGGGAAGAATTTCTTTCTATTCCACAAATCGCAAACAATCCATTAGCATCAAGAATGATTGCAATATTTGATGAGGACGGTGGTGGTGATGTGGATTTCAAGGAATTTATTGCTGGATTGAGTACATTTAGTGCAAAAGGAAATAAAGTTGAAAAACTGCGTTGTAAGTAAGGCCAGCAAGTTTTAATGATATATTTTAAGAATTTTTTTAAACCAATCTTCTTTATAGTTGCTTTCAAGGTTTATGATATGGATAGAGATGGATTTATTTCAAATGGCGAGCTGTTTCTCGTCCTAAAAATGATGGTTGGAAATAACCTCAAGGACAATCAACTTCAACAGATTGTTGATAAAACGATCATGGAAGCTGATAAAGATATGGATGGGAAAATTTCGTTTGAGGAATTCTGCGCGGTGGTGGAATCAACCGATATCTCAAAGAGTCTAACCTTGACTGAATTTTAGAAATCTCCGAATCTATTTATTATTTGGCAATCATTTGACTTTTTTTCTGCAAGGATTTTTTATTTTTAGGTGAATTAATTAGGTACAACTCGTGTAATTACTGATGGTTTTTTCCCGACGATATTAGTTAATAATTTAAATAAAATTTTGTAAAATGATTCGATTCCTGAATTTTAATCTAAACATAAATTCATGGAGGAGCAAAAAGCGATAAATAGAATTGATCGTCGGCATTCAAAATCTAGGATAAAAAAATTCCTTTAACCGCGTAGGCACTTTCAAAAAAAACAAAATAATCACCAATTATATTCATATTTTTGACATTATCTAGTAAGATAATATGAAACTACACAGTATATCAATATTTTTAAAATTAAAATTTCAACCATATACAGAGGTGTTGCAAAAAACAATTTCTTTATTAGCCCTCTAAATTTTACTTATTTCTATTTTTTTTCTAAATATACTGTATAAGCAATTTCTTATAATTAATAATTCTAGATTTTTTACTATTTTATCAATGTTTATCTTTTTTTCTTTGACTTTAACTTTCTTTTTAGTCTCAGATTTATAAATCTAATTTAATAAGATTTTTTTGATAATATTGTTTTTTTTTTTTTTCCATAATCAAACAAGTATTTATTATGTTTATTTAATCATTGGAGTTGAAAACATACAAGT